GCGTGGTGCGGCTGCCCTTTGCTTTTAATTGGGGCGGGTGTGCAGGTGGAGCGCGCCTGCAGGAAGCACACGCTGAACCCGCTCTGCGCCCTGCCGTGTTTACACAACACTCACGGTTTAGGCCAAGTCCCCTCGGCGCGGGGACAGCAGCGGGGATGTTCCTAGGGAGCAAATGCAGCCCCAGCGTGCCAAGAGCCAGCGTGAGGCTGATGCCGCCGCCACGTACCCCTCTCTCAGGGCTTGTTCAGTGCAAGGCCAGGGAATGACCATGGGAAACCCTGAGGCCATGAGCACAAACCAGACAGGCACAAACTTTTTCCTCCTTGTTTCCTTGCTTTCTAGCCCAAGGAGAGCCCGGGTCTGTGGCCACAGCGGCTCACTCAGCGCAGAAAAGCTACTGGCATCCTGGCTGCTGCAAAGCCGGGGCCAAGGTGGGCCACCAGCACGATCCCCGTGTTTCAAAGCTCCCTGCAAGCACACGGTGCCTGTGGCTGCCCAGTGGCAGAGGCTGCGGCAGAAGGGCCGGGCTCCCAGCTCTTCCCACCCTCATCTCAGAACACAAATCTTGATTCTTTCTGCTATTGCGGCCACCAGTCAAGCTCAGGTTGCTGCAAACAATTTCCAGTCTAAACATTGGCAGGATTTATGCCATTATCCCATTGACAGGAAGAATTTGGGGTAACCTGAATTGCTCTGAATTCATTTATGGAGAGACCTGGCCCCTGCATCTGAGATGACAGTAAGCCTTGTTTGCAATTCAATCAGGATTAATTAGTCTTTGGGAGCTCCAATACAAACCAGAAAATGTAAACCATCCAGATAATTTACCATTAGTCCTCCTACACACAAGGTGAGAAAGACCAACATTATATCCCTGGGATATTCGAGACCTAATCCACAATAACTGAATTGCTGATATATTGCCTCTTGCTGAATGTATCAGGCTATCCATAATGTAAACGGGCTCTCCAAAGGTTTACTGAGTCTGGGAGAGAAGGACCAGATGCTTGTGCGAGGGCTTGAGGCAGGACAAAGTCCGATTACAGCAGCAGCAGTAATGAACCCCCCGGAACTCCCGGGTTGGCTGCCAACAGCCGGCTGGACATTAGCTATGAGTGCAGGGGAATTTGGGTTCCCAGGTCCTGGAGCCAGATACAAAATTTGAGTTTCACCTTGGCAGTCTGTTTAGGGGGTGCAAATATGCAAGGAGAACAGGTTTCAGAAATGTCTTTGCCTGCAGGAAGAGTCGCGGTTTTGCAGGGTTTCACCCGGGTTGGTTTGGCCCCAGCAGCCTCCCAGCCCCGTGCCCGGCACGCTCGGGTGTGGGGGATGGCACCAGGGACAAGTGCCCCCGTGCCCTCCCCAGCCCCAGGGCAGGCAGAGTCCAGCGCTGG